AGCGGAACGCCTGGACTGCTTCACGGACAAGTCTGGGGTCCGCCGAGGATGGCGTCAGGAACAGGAGGAGGAGGGGAAGGAGGAGAAAGAGGACGAGGAGGAGGAGGAGGAGGAGGAGGAAGAACGGGAGGAGGCGAAGGATGCGACGAGGAGGCGTCCGACGGGGAGGCGTCCGAGTCACAGATCGGGACGAGGAGTTGGGGATGAGGACGGACCGAGAAGGAGGACGAGGAGGCTCCGCCGCCGCCCCGAGGCCGCTGAGCTCGCCAGGCAGCCTAACTCGTCTTTCTTTTCTTTCTCTTTGTTGCGGGAGTGTCATTTCATTTCTTGTTGTACAGGAGGTGACTCTCTCTCTCTCTCTCTCTCTCTCTTTTAACGCCGAAGGACGCCGAAGGCGCAGGCGAGCCGGAGGAGCGCGTCCTCCTTGGAGGAGCCGCGACCGGGGCCCGGAGGCCTGCCCCGCGCGGGCGGGGGGCCTCGCCCCCGAGGGGGAGCCGCCCTCCGGGCCGCGTGGGGGGCGGGCTCGGGCTGCCCGGGCGGGCGCGAGCGGGCGGCGCGCGTGCGAGGCGCCGCCGCGGCGAGCGCCGCGCTGCGGGAAGCGATCGGCGGCCTCTTCACCGTTTTGCCGATCGGCGCGGGGTAAAGCTCCACCCTACGCCCCCCCCCCCTCCCCCCCACGGAGCAGATCTCGGCTGTTTTGTGGTTGGCGCCCGTTTTCGGGCGGTGGAGCCCCCCCCCCCCCCCCAGAGGCAGCACTCTTGCAAACAGTCACACCGAGCAGAGGTCTTGAGCCAGACCCCCCCCCCGCTAGCGCCCAATGTCGAAACGCAGAACAAAAACACGCTCCCGAACGGCCCGCCCTGCATCTGTATAGTGGGTGGATGCCATTCAAGACGAGCGTACTCGGCGCTCTTGCGAACAGTTCATTTAGAAGATGGCCGGCCTTCCACCGTGTACACGGTGCGGAGTTTTCAGCTTTCAGGGCCATGAGTCTCGCGGCCGTATCGGGCGAAACGGCTGGGCAACCGCCTAGCCTGTGTGCATTAGTTGGCGCGACGAGGATCTCATATTTTTACTTGGACAAGATGGGGAGGAAGGGGGGGAGGAGGAGGAGGGGGAGGCGGATGACGAGGAGGATGAGGTGGAAGCGGTAGAGGTGGAGGAGACGAGAGAGGGGAAGGTAAGGATAGGAAGGGAGAGAATGATAAGGATGAGGGTAGGGAGAGACATGAAGAGAACAGGGAACGATGAGGAGGGGACGGAATGAGGAGGAGGAAGAAGAGGAAGAGGTGACGGAGGACACGACAAATAAGGATATTGACGGGGGGAATGATGCTGGTGGCTGTGGTGGCGGTGGCGAGGATGAGAAAATGCGACACGGGATGATGAATCTGCGTACGAAGGAGATGGTTACGGCAGGGTTGGTGTTGCTGTTGCTTATGATGATGATGCTGGTGGTGGTGGTAATGATGGTGATGCTGATGTTGATGCTGATGCTGCTAGTGATGATGGTGATGATGATGCTGATGATGATGTGATGATGATGATGATAAATACGATGCTGATGATGACGATGTTGATGATGCTGATGATTATGCTGCAACTGCTGATGATGATGCTGCTGATGATGATGGCGATGCTGGTGCTGCTGATGATGATAATGCGGATGATGATGGTGATGACGATAACAATGCTGATGTTGATGGTGATGAGGATAATCTTGATGATGTTGTTGATGATGTCGGTGCTGATTGTGGTGGTGATGATGATGCCGATGATGATGCTGATGATGTTGACGGTGCTGCGTTCGCTGATGATGACGATATTGACGATGGCGATGCTGATGCTGGTGATGATGAGACCGCTGACGGCGATGCTGACGATGTTGAGGGCACGGATGTTGATGCTGATGATGCTGCTGATGTTGATGCTGATGATGGTGATGAAGATGATGGTGAGGATGATGGCGATGCCAGTTATTGCTGACGATGCGGCTGATGATCTGAGGATGTTGATGCTGATGGTGATGCTGACGATGCTGAGGATAATTCTTATCACGGTGATGATAGCGATGATGACGATGCTGATGACGCTGATGATGATGATGCTGTTGCTGATGATGATGACGCTGACGATGACGATGCTGATGCTGGTGATGATGATACCGCTGACGGCGATGTTGATGCAGATGGTGGTGTTGATTATGGGGGTGCTGATGCGGATGCTGGTGATGATGCTGGTGCTGATGTTGATGGTGTTGGTGATAGTGCCGATAGTGAGATGATGCTGATGCTTGTGATGATGCTGACGATGATGCTGCTGATGCTGTTGTTGTTGGTGATGCTAATGATGCTGCTGATGCTGATCCTGATGATGCCGATGCGGCGGATGATGTTGATGATGCTGATGATGCTGCTGCTGCTGATTATGATGCTGATGTTGCTGTAGATGGTACTGATGGTGATGATGATGATGCTGTTGCTGATGATGCTGGTTATGTCGATGATGCTGCTTACGCTGGTGGTGATGATGCTGACGCTGATGGTGATGACGATACTCCTGATGATGCTGATACTGCTGCTGATGATGATGATGCTGCTGCTTATGACGACTATGCCGATGCTGCTGATGATGACGATGATGAAGATACCGATGGTGATGGCGATGCTGATGCTGCTGATGATGATAATGCGGATGATGATGGTGATGACGACAGCAATGCTGATTCTGATGGTGATGAGGATATTCCTGATGATGTTGATGGTGATGATGGTGCTGATTGTGGTGGTGATGGTGATGCCGATGATGATGCTGATGATGTTGACGGTGCTGCGTTCGCTGATGATGACGATACTGACGATGGCGATGCTGATGCTGGTGATGATGAGACCGCTGACGGCGATGCTGACGATGTTGAGGGCACGGATGTTGATGCTGATGATGCTGCGGATGCTGATGATGGTGATGAAGATGATGATGAGGATGATGGCGGTGCCAGTTATTGATGATGCGGCTGATGATCTGATGATGCTGATGCTGATGGTGATGCTGACGATGCTGAGGATGATGTTTATCACGGTGATGATAGCGATGCTGACGATGCTGATGACGCTGATGATGATGATGCTGTTGCTGATGATGATGGTGACGCTTACGATGACGATGCTGATGCTGGTGATGATGATACCGCTGACGGCGATGCTGATGCAGATGGTGGTGTTGATTATGAGGGTGCTGCTGCTGCTGGTGGTGGTGATAATGATGATGGTGCCGATACTGAAGATAATGCTGGTGCTTGTGATGATGCTGACGATGATGCTGCTGATGCTGTTGATGATGATGATGATGATGATACTGATGATGCTGATCCTGATGATGCTGATGCTGCTGCGGATGATGCTGATGATGCTGATGATGCTGCTGCTGATTATGATGCTGTGTTGTAGATGATGCTGCTGGTGATGATGCTGTTGCTGATGATGCTGGTTATGTCGGCGATGCTACTTATGCTGGTGATGATGATGCTGACGCAGATGGCGATGAGGATTATCATGATGATGATGATACTGCTGCTGATGATGATGATGCTGCTGCTTATGACGACTATGCTGTTGCTGCTGATGATGACGATGATGAAGATGCTGATGATGATGATCTGACGATGATGATGCTGCTGATGATGATAGTGATGATGACGAGAGTGGTGCCGGTGGTAATGACGATGCTGATGATGCTGATGATGATCACGATGCTGATGATCATGCTGGTGATGGTGATGATGCTGCTGATGATGATGCTGATGATGTTGCTGTTGATAATGATGATGATGACGATGGTGATTATGCTGATGGTGATGATACTGGTGCTGCAGGCGATGATGACGATGATGATGCTGATGATGATGATGCTGATGCTGATGGCGATGGCGATGCTAGGGCTGATGATGATGGTT